AGAGGAAGAGGGACGAGGGAAAGAGAGAGAAGCTTGGCGGCAATGCCCAGCTCCCACAGGCTGAAACGCCAGGATCTCTGCCATCCTCTCTGTCGCCCGTGCAGCACAGTAACCAGGAGGAGCCAGGCGGCGCCGGGCCGCCAGACACGACGTCACGAAACACATGCAACATCGTAGAATTTCACAACCGGGGCCCCAGGCCCCTAGGCCCCATTCTCCAAACAGTGTTTGCACTTACTTCAGGCTTCTTACTGAGCGTCGGGGGGTACCACCCCGACGGGGGTCAACCTCGCCTCGTCGTCGCGCCGCGACGGGGGTTGGAGCGCCTTCGGCGCGCGGTGGCTGCCCGCGACGGGGGTCGATGTGGGGCTGTCGGCGGGGGCGACACGCCCCCGACGCTTATTAAGAAACTCGGAGTAAGGATTGTGGCTTGTTTTCAAAAGGGCAGGGTCTGCGCGTCGGTCTGGCGGCCACGTGGTCGCCGTCGCCGCCCCGTCACCGCCTCGTCGCCCCCGTCGTATGGGCCTGCGCGTCGGGACCGCCGCCTTGGTCGCCGTCGCCGCCTCGTCGTCGCCCGTCGTCTGGGCCTGGGTGGCGGTTTGGCCAAGGGCTCCCTCGAGGGCGCGAAGTTATTCGCGCTTCGCGGTCCTCGTTCCTTCTCCCCCTCCTCCTCGTCCTCCTATTCTCCTTTTGGGAGGGCGGCGCGAGAGCGCGAAGTTATTCGCGCTTCGCGCTTCGCGCAGCGCGAAGCGCGAAGTTGGGAGCCCTAGTTTGGCCGCCGTGTGGCCGCCGTTGCCGCCCCGTCGCCGCTTCGTCGTCGTCCGCCGTCTGGGCCTGGGCGGCGGGCTGGCCGTCGCCGCCCGCCACCTCGTGGCCGCATTGCTTTGAACGTGTTTGCATTGACCGCCCCGCCGCATTGCTCTACATTACTTCTACGTCGTACTGCATTGATATGTAGTGTGTTGATTGTGTTGTGTTTCGTTGCATTGCTGTGTATTGGTTCGCAGTACATCGCAGCGCACTGCTTTACATTGTTTGGCATTGCATTGAGTTGCGCTGGTTTGCATTGCGATCGCAGTTCATTTCGTTGCATTGCTATGCATTGAATTGCAGTGTCTCGCATTGTACCTACGCTGATTTGCATGACTCTGCACTGCGCTGCACCACATCGATTGCGCCACATGGACTGCACCGCCTAGATTGCACCGCATCCGTTGCACCACCTAGATTGCGCATCATATATTGCTGCAAGAAGGCACTGTTTGGGGCCCGCGCTGGCTAACATCCTTCAGCTGCATGTCTCAAGCGGGATCGCCCCGTGATGGTCCCGGGGCCCGAAGCCAGACGCAAGCGCCTGGCGCGAAAAAATCGCCACGCCTGGATCTCGGGGCCCCTTCTCGGCCGACCCGAGTGGCTGCGCCCTGGGAGGAGGCTACCTCGAGGGCTCACCGTGGAGGCCCATGCCAAGAAACACCCTGCTTGCCTCAAGCGTGCCCTGGGTTTCGATGGTTTTGCCATGGAAGGCGTGATTTTCCCAAACCAAAAAATCCATGGACGTCCTGGGGACTCAGTGTTGGGTTTCTTGTAGAAGGTTTCTTGTGGTCGGGCCTCCACTGTATGGGAAGCTACGGTGGGACTTTCGTTAAAGATGTGCCCAGGAGACTTCAGACCCTGGAGGATTTCTCCTCTGGCGAGGGGGGCGGTGATACGCATGGCCAGGCCTCATGTTTGGCGTTCCGCCAGCTCTCAGACCTTGGAAATCCGCATCCCCAGACCCCTGACGACATGATTTTGTTCATGATGTGGACCCCAGTTTTTCATCTGGGATCGTTCTCGACCTGTTTCCCTATCGAGGAGGAGGAGGAGGAGGAGGAGGAGGAGGAGGAGGAGGAGGGGGACGAGGAGGAGGAGGAGGTCTCGACCTATTCCCTGGGACCAGTTTTTCATCTGGAGTCGTTCTCGACAGTCCGGGGGCCCGGCAGGGGCCCCCAGAGGCAGAAGCTAGCGAAGAGAATCCCAGCGTGATTTATCCACGACTCGAGGGGGTTATTGGCCCAAGGGCTCCTCCTCATCCTCCTCCTTTTCCTCCTCCCCCTCCTCCTCCTGCTTCTATTCCTCCTCCCTCCTCCTCCTCCTCCTCCCCCTCCCCCTCCTCCTCCTCCTCCTCCTCCTCCTCCTCCTCCTCCTCCTCCTCCTCCTCCTCCTCCTCCTCCTCCTCCTGGTGGCCGCGCTGCGGCGGCAGGCACGCGGGCTCCGCAGCGGCGGGCTCGAGAGGCGCCGGCCGCTAGAAGCAGCGGGCGGCGGCGAGGGCCCCGCGCCGCGGGTGGGGCCCCTGCGCGGGCAGAGGCCTCTCGAGGAGCAGAGCACAGCACGAGCACATTGTCGTGCGTCGGCGGCTGGGCTTGAGTCGGGCATGTCCCTCTGCAGGAGGAATCTTCCAAGAAAAGGTTAGACACAACAGTATGGGGACGAATGTCTCGCATGCTTTTGTTTTTTTTGAATATGGTTTGACTCTGATTTGTTTGTCGTCCAGAATCCGCCTGTAGGGGGACACGCCCGACCGAAGGCTAGGCAGAGGGCGACTGCGCTGGCGATGAAAGGCTCAAGCGGGGCTGCCGTTGGAGGGAGTTGTGCCACCATGCAAGAGGAGGAGTGAGGAAGAACGCGGCCGAAGGAAAACAAGGACGGGGCGGGCGGCTCAGGGGTCAGAACGCTCCCGAGCGTGTGGCGCACGGCACAAGCACAGGCTTTCCTAGCTCCGCGCGGGTGTCTCGGTTCGGCGCCAGGGCCCCCCCTGGCGGCGCCTCCGGCGCCACCCCTGGCGCGCGGAGCGCGCCAGGGAGGAGAGTCCGGCGCAGATCCGAGAGATCCGCGCGGAGCGCAGAACCATGATGGCTGTGCCGTTCTTTGCTCCTCCATCGTTCCCCCCAAGCCCGCCGCTTCAGCAAGGTCCGTCCACTCCAGGAAATCCAGCATTCGAGCGCTGGCGCGCAGCCGCGCACCCTGGTCGAGAAGGAGTTGAGGCCCTGGGCCGACACCTGGGGGGCCCGCGGCTGCTCGAGGCCCCCGCGGAGCCCCCGCGGAGCCCGAGGATGGCCCTCTCTCCCGCCCGTAGGAGCTGAGCAGGTGTGGGAAGCCCTCGCTGGGCTGGGCCTGAGCCTCCTGCGCCAGGCCAGCCACAACTGGGGGAGCCGTGGTCCTTACCCCCCTGGGGGGGACCCGTCGATTTCGACACGACGCCCCTCTCAAGAGAGATCGTCGGCGCGATGGGTTCCCCCAGGGGGGGGAGGACCACGGCTCCCCCAGCTGTGGCCGGGCTGGTGCGCCCCCGCCCCTGCGGGGCAGCGCTCGGGGTGGACCCGCTCAGGGGGGGGGGGGGCAGCGGGCCAGCGTCGGCCCCCCGTCGCCCACTCCTCGCCGGCAGGGGCCCGGAGGCCCGCCCCGCCCAGGACCGCGCGGAGCCGCCCCCCCCCCCCTTCACAGGTTGCCGGCGTCGGCTTGCAGGGGGGGGGGGCGGGCGCGGGGGGGGCGCCAACGACCGCGCCGATTCCATCGCGGCCCGCTGCCCCTTCCCGGGACCCTCAGGAATCCTCCAGGCCCAGTCGGCCTCGCAGTCGGCGCCGGCGTCGCGCCGCCCGCGAGCGCCAGCCGGCGGGCGGGCCGACCTTGTTGCGCAAGCCGACTCCTCCTATTCACAGGGCGCGCCCACGCGGGGGACGATTTTTTTGTTCCTCGGGCAAAGTCATGCGGTACAGATTTCAGTGTTTCGTCTGGCAACACTACAGGGTCGATACGTCCTCTGGTCTGTCCCCGCCGGGCTACAAGCGCAAGTGTGCACAGAGTGGGGACAATCGCTGAGATACATCATGTGGACATGCGCTGCCCAAGGGAAAACTGAAAGTGCGGAGTATGTAACGTATGAAGGTATAGAGGAGGGGACGAGAGGAGGGGGACGCGAGGAGGGGGGACGAGAGGAATTCGAGATTCGAGGTTTCGGGCAGTTTCGTGGGCCCTCGGCGGCTTTCCAGCCTCGGGGGGACCTCCAGCCGCTGCGCCTCGTCGAGGGTTTTCCAGGGGGGCCTGGATCGTCCCGAGCAGCCGCTGGAGGCTCGAGTTTTGACCCGAAAACCAGCATGGACCCAGAGCCCCTCGAGGTTCGAGGGTCGAACTTTGGTTGTTTCCTTCATTTCGGGGGCCTCCAGGAGGCTTCTCGTCGCCACGGCCGGATCGGCCTTGAAATTCTGGCCAGAGCGCTACCCGGAACAGGTCCAGGGATGGATGTTCGACCCCCGGGCTCTAACATGCTTTCGTTGCGAAACAATCACGACGGGAGGTGTTTGAGCAGTTCCCGGCTTTGGGCAGCCTTCGCTAGACCTGGAGCCATCAAGAAGTGGCTCGAGGCCGAAAAACCGGCCCCCGGGAGAGGGTCCAGACCACGGGGGTCCGCGTTGCGAAGAGCTCACGGCATTGGGGGCTTGGGCTCGGCGGGGACAACAAGCGTTGATTGACATCGAGCTTCTTTCGTCGAGCGAGGGATTCCAGAAGGGTTGCTGCCTTCCGAGTGGTTGCGGTCGTCTTCCCCTTTCTTTGAAATTCAAGGGGGGGGGGAAGGGCGAATGAGGGAAAAAAGCGCGCGCCCCGCGCGCGCCCGGGCCCGAAGCCGGCGGCGGGGCGGCCGACGCAGAGTCATCACTCAGGAGAGGAAAAAACACACAGACACAATTAATCGTCGACTCCCCAGAAAATATGGGAAAATATGGGAATTGGGGGGGAAGACAAAAACCCAGAAAATACGGCAAAATATGGGGAATATTTTTATTTGTGTGTATTTATTTGTGTGTCCCAGGGCCCCTTCAATCACATTCGCCCCCCCCCCCCACCCAGGCCGATCCTCCACCAAAGCCTCTCGTCACTTCCGGAGGCAGCAGATCTCAGAAGAGCTGCTGCTCGTCCGGCGGTGCTGATCTCGGCTCTGGCGCCGGCCACCCCGGCTCTGGCGGATGGGGGACGCCTCGGCGATCAGGGAGGTCTTCGAGAGGTACGCGAGCAAGACGGGCTCCCTGAGCAGCGAGGATCGAGAAACAAGCAATGACGTAAACGTATAGATTCGACGGTCCGCGCGGATTTCGTCGATCTACGGTAGGTTTGCGTCGTGTCGACCAGCGGCGACCCCAGCGCGGACGTTCAAGGTTGAACGCCGCCGGCGACCCAGAATCGATCGATGTTGAACGATCGGGCGTTGCGGCAGCGGCCGATCGTTCAAGGTTGAACGATCCCCGCGGTGTCAAAAACCAACGCTGGGGTCGGCACGACACGAACCTGCCGTACGCTGGACCCCCCCCTGGCGGCGCCTCCGGCGCCGCCCCTGGCGCGCCCCGCGCGCCAGGGCAGGGGGGTCCAGCGCCGATCCAAGAAGTCAGTGCAGACCTCCGAGAGTTCGTGTTTGTGTCATTCGCTGCTCCTCGAGAGGAGCTGAGCAGTATTCTGAAGTCGCTCGGCAGATTCCGCGATGCCGACATCACGGCCATATTCGAGCACATGGACAGGAACCACGACGGGAAGGTCACGTACGAGGAGTTCTCGCAGTGGGTCCAGGGCAGCGGCGGCGGCAGCGAGGAGTCCAAGGCCCGCCAGCTCTTGCAGCCGAGCGCCGACCCGAGCGCCGACCCAGGAGTCCTGAGCACGTTCCTCAGCTTCTGCGGCGAGGGGCACGAGGACATGGACGGGAGGTGCTTCCTCAAGCTGTGCAAGGTCAGAGCCCCGAATCATCAGGGGTAACTCGGGTCAGGGCTAACTCGGGTTCCTTTTTCGGGAATCCAAACCCGAGTTACCCCGGACCCGAGTTACCCCGGATAACTCGGGCGCCCAACAAGGACTGCGGCCTGATGGACAAAAAGCTCGGGAGCACCGACGTCGACCTGATCCAGGGGAGCGAAGCATGCCAGAAACATGAAAACTCGCACGTCCGCGCGGATTGCTCGGATCCGCACTGGACCCCCCTGGCGGCGCTTCCGGCGCCGCCCCTGGCGCGCTTCGCGCGCCAGGGAGGAGGGTCCAGCGCCGATCCGAGAAATCCGCGCGGACCTCCGAGTTCTTACGTTTAGGTCATTGTTCGTTTCCCTTGTGATATTTGCCAAGGTGGTGGAGAAGGGCAAGCGGCGGATCAACGCCGCGCAGTTCGGCGAGGCCATCCGGCAGGTCGCTGCGAAGAAGGGCGTGTCCGAGAGCAGCACTCGAGAGGCAGTCTTGATCGCTGGCCCGCCGATCGTGAAGGGGACGAAGTCGGACCACGTGCGCCTGCACGACGATAAGACGACTTACACGGGCTCGCATGCGCATGGCCACGTGGACAGCATAGATGCTGGCCTTGCTAAGCTGGGCCTTCCCACGGAGATCGCGGAGCGTCGCAGGCCCTCAAAGTCGCCTTCGCGGCCAGAGGCGGTCTTCGCCCCCAGCGCAGACCGCAATCCGAAGTCTCTCCACGACGTGTTCTTGATATTCTGTGGGAGCGGGCAGCAGACGATGGACAACCGGAGCTTCGTGAAGCTCTGTAAGGACTGCCAGCTCCTCGACAAGGGCTTCTCCAGCAACGACGCGGACCTCGTGTTCGCCAAGGCCTGCGAGAAGGGCCAGAGGCGGATCGACAGAAAGCAGTTCGAGGACGCCATCTGGGCAACGGCGGAGAAGACAGGCGTCGACTACGGCGACCTGATCATGAAGATCATCCAGAACGGCAGGCCTGTGCTGACGGCCACGCGGGCGGACAACGTCCGGTTCCACGACGATAAGAGCACGTACACTGGCTCCCACGCCACCAAGACCTCGGACTAGGCCCTAGTAAGCCTCCCAGATGGAGTCCGAGCTGATGAGGTCGGGGCATCGCGGCACATCGCCGATGCACTGGCGATGCGGCTCGATGTGGAGCCCGGTTTTCTCCACGCCGACGTCGCCGATGCGTCGCCGATGCGTCGCCGATGCATCGCCGATGCATCGGTGATGCATCGGCCATGCGGCGCGATCCTTCGACCCCATCTTCTCCGACCCCATCGGAGTGGCGAAAGAAAACGGGGTCGTCTGCGCCGACGTTCGCGCGTAAGCTCCCCGCGCAGGGTCGCGCGTGAGCGCCCTGGTGGCCGCACTAGCGGCTAGCGGCTCGCGTAAGCCGCCGCTTCGGGTCGCTACGCCATCTCGCGAAAATCAAGGGAAGAAAGAACGCCCAGACCGGACACGTTTACCAACACGGCCTTGGGCGCTTACTAAAAGCCCCGCCCTGTTCGATTCCTCCCCTGGGTGCGTGTACTAAACGGCTTCGATTATTCTGGGGGTGGATTTCCTGCCCTTTAGCGCGACCCGTTTTTGATCGTCGCCCATCTGGGAGGCTTCAAGAGGCGGGCGTCGCACGGGGCGCACCCGACAGACCAGCGCGGCGGGGCCGCGGCACGCCCGCTGGACAGACCGTGCCCTCCCGAGCCCGGGGACGCCGCGCCCCTGGCGCGCCAACAGGGACTCCAACTCCAACTCCAACTCCAACTTCTCGTTCTGCTCCGCGTCTCCTACTCCGCGTATCCTCCTCCTCCTTCTCCTCCTCCTCCTCCTCCTCCTCCTCCTCCTCCTCCTCCTCCTCCTCCTCCTCCTCCCCCTTCTCCTCCTCCACCTCCTCCTCCCTCCTCTCCTCCTTCTCCTCCTCCTCCCTCCTCCTCCTCCTCCTCCTCCTCCTCCTCCTCCTCCTCCTCCTCCTCCTCCTCCCCCGCTCCGCTCCCCGTCTTTCCTTCGCACGTTCCGGCGGTATCTTGGGAGTCCCGGGGGCCGTCGGGGCAGTCTTGGGTGGCATGTGGCGGATTCAAGGAACGGCCTCGCCTGCGAGGATCGAAGGAGTTGACACCTCTTCCCCGGCGGAAGGGCGGCGGACGCCCGCGAAAGTAGAGCGAGGCCACCTCCGCCGGCGGAAGCCGGTGGAAGGCCGGCGGGAGTAAAAATCGGCCCCCCGAGAGATGGCCAAGTTTGCATGGTTCAGGGTTTCCAGAGCTGGCCATCTGTTGGAGCATCTTGGGGCTTGTTGGGGGACACCTTGGGTCGCCCGATCTGCATCTTGGGCTCCTCTGGGGGTGTTTTGGGGCCAAGTATGTGGACTGTCCTTGGCTCTCATGGGGGCTATTCGGGTGCCATGTGAAGGCCCCCGAAGCCCATCGGAAGCCAAAGCGGCGATAGATGGCGAAATCATCGAAACCGGAATCGCTTCTACGGTTTGGGCTTCCGAGTTGTGGACGGCGACAAGGTGTGCCTCCCCATAGAAGGCGCGTTCCACTACTTCCGATGACTGCTTGCTCGATACGGCCCTAGCGCACCGGGGGGTGACTGGTTGCTTGATGTGCTGTCTGATTGGATGGCCGGCTGGCTGGGCCAGAGCACGGGGAGCATGTCGTACGATGTGCATTGTGCTTACATATATGCATGTATGGCATGCAAGTACAGGTATGTACATACCGATGCGAGTCTGTATATATGCATACATACATACAGACAGACAGACAGGCAGACATGCATGAATGGATATATGCATGCGTGCGTGCATACATATATACACATCTACATGTGTACATGCATACGTACAGTATACATGCGTACATGCATACATGCATACATACATATACATACACATATACATATACATATACATACATACATACATACATACGTACATACATACATACATGCATGCATGCGTGCATGCATACATACGTACATACATACATACATACATACATGTATACATGTATACACACAAATGCACATACATCAATACATGTACGCACAGTGTTATATATACAGACGAACATACATACGGACATGCACACATACAAACAAACATACACGTACACGTACGTATGTATGTGCGTACGTACATGCGTTCGTACGAACATGCATACATACATACATACATACATGCATGCATGCATGCATGCATACATACATACATACATACATACATACATACATAGATACATATGCGAATTGGCCGACTGGTTCGCTGATTGGTTGGGTGGACGGTTGGCCAGCTGGTGACCAGGTGAGGAGACCGAGGGGACGAGAGGAGATAGCAATGGGAGGGAATGGAACCAGGAGGGAAGGGATCAGCGCAGTATAGGGCTCCAGGGAAGGGAAGGTGACCGGGGATGGGAGAGGGACCAGGGAGGAGGAGGAGGAGGAGGAGAACAGAACCGAACAGAACGACTCTGGGGGGCCGACTCCATGAGCCACCTCATAGCGCCAAAAAGTTTGCCCCTGAGTGGCCTTCGCAGGCAGCTTCACTTGGCTTCCAGCCTCTGCAGGCACGGCCAAGTGCTCGGGCCCAAGCCCCGCCCTGCGGCGCGGGCACAGCACTCGGGGGGGGCGGCGGCACGGCTCAAACTCACAGGTCATACAGCCATCGAGGCTATACAAGGCGAGCAAGAAAAAATCCCCAAGACTTCGCCAATGGTCTAGGCTTTGGTTTTGAAATCCTCCGCCCCTGGGCCGTAGATCGGCGAGAGTCTCCTGAGACTCCTTCCAGGATCTGATTGTCGGCCAATCGGAACGGCTGGGGGGCCCCCGAGGATGAGGAAGCAGCAGCAGCAGCAGCGCTCGAAGGAGGAGGAGGAGGAGGAGGAGGAGGAGGAGAAGGTCGAGGAAACATGATGGACCCACGAACCCGGAAAGGGATATAGAACCACATGCATGGAAACGTTTTCACGACACCGTATTGGGCGACGGGCACTTCCACGAGACACTCCGCGAAACATTCCACGAGACACGGGCGACCGTTTTCAACGTTTTCCTGGAAACATTCCACGAGACACCCCGCGAAACAGTCCACGAGACACCCCACGAAACATTCCACTCGTGCACCTGGAGAGGGCAAATCTACAGGCACATACGTAAAAACACACGGGTTCGTGCACCTGGAGAAGGCAAATCTCTGGGGCGCCCAGATCCCTCAAGTTCTACAAAACAAGCGATTCGCTCGAGACATCCTCGGAGCAAGCGTTTCGCTCGAGACATCCTCAACACACGAAAGAGTGGCCCGCACCCTGTGAGTTATCCATCGGGATTTCAAAAACAAGCGTTTCGCCTGAGACGTCCTCAAATTTCAATCCGCGGGCCCACCTCGACCTCGATACTTATCAGGGAAAGAATCCGCCGGCCCACCTCAGTTGAGGCACCGGGGACAGGTTTACCAACTAAAAGAGAACCCTGGGCAGGCGCCCTTTCCGGGAAAAAGGCTCCCCTTGCCGCCAATTCTCGAAGGCGCTCCGAATTCGCAAGCATCGGTCTGCGCGAAACTTCACGAGCGATCAGGGCAACCACACGGGCGCTCGCAACCGCCGAGGTTCCCCGCTCGGCTGCGTCTCTTTCTGCCCCCCCCCCCCGCCACCGTCCCAGCCACGCCCCCCCTCCACATTCTTGCACATCATTCGCTACCTACTGCTGCTCACTACCGACACTCTGCTGCTGCTCGCGGCTCACACCACGCTGCGATCCACCAGGTCTGCTCACTGCGACACTTCGCTGCTGCTCACGGCTCAGCCCAGGATGCGATCCAACAGCATTGTTCACGACACCATTGCTCAGCATAAGATGCGATCCAGCAACACTGCTCACTTCGACACTGTGCTGCTGCTCTGAGCACAGCGCGTGATGCGATCCAGCAGCTTCGCCGCGTCCCGCTCGAGAACCCCCCGAGGGGCTGCTCCCACCTTCCGCTCTCCTCCCGCCGCCTTCAGATACTTCACGAGGCAACGCTCGAGCTCGGGAACCATCGAGTCGATAGCGAACGTCAGCCGATATTCCTCCGATTTGTTCTCCTGCTCCCGCGTGACCCTGATCCTGCACACGCGGACCTCGTCCGCCAACTCTAGAAGCTCCTTCACCACCACCACCTCCTTCCAAAACATCTCAAAGCAATGTTTGCATTTCTCTGGGCACAACGGATCCTGACCTGCAGCTTGCACCAGTGCCACCCGCACCTGCAGACAAGGGGGCCCGAGAGAAGACGCGTCGCCGCTGCTCTCCTTCAGCTCCTGGGCACCGTTGTGATACTCGACGCCTGCGGCCTTGGCGGCCTTGGCCGCGACCGACTCCGATGGCATCAGGAACGTGAAAAAAGAACGACGCCGCAGCTGTCCCTCAATTCGGCGGCGCTGATGAGAGCGTGAGGGGAGGAGGAGGAGGAGGACGAGGAGGAGGAGGAGGAAGAGGACGAGGAGCATGAGCTTCGTGAGGATGATCACGAGCTGTTTCAGAACGTCCCCGCCTCCCTCGGCCTGCTGCTTGGCCGCCTCGGCATGCCGGGCTGCCTTCTTCGCGAGAGGCTCTCCGACGTCGTCGCTCGGTTGCGTTGGGACCTCGAGCATCCAAGCGGGCAGGTTGTCCATGGTCGTGTGCACCATGGTCTCTAAGCCAGGGCGGTCGGGGCTCAGGGCAAGGATCGAGATGCCTTGTCAAATGATCCTGCAAAGCCTCAAAGCTGAGGCCATAGAACACACATAGAGGGCACTGATACGATAAGAGTACATTCAGAGGCAGGAGATGACGAACCGTTACATCACTGCAAAACCTCGCTCTAATGAATCACGAAGATGGCGTCGACATGTGGCACGAGAGGCGAACGTGGTAAGGCACACGCAGCGCTGGTTAGAGACACTCAAGACACTCAAGAAAGACGGATACCCATGTCTAGCTATAATATGTGTATGCACGGCACGTCGATCAGGTAAGATAGCTCCACAGACATTGCCATCACTGTCACACATTGTGCACGTTTCCCGATATCGATCACACTAGTGACTAGCTCA